TCTCCACGACATCAGATGAGTGAGATCGAATGAAGCCCTCGGCGCTGCGAAGCGAAACTTGAAGGCGAACCCCCAATGTATTTCACTTTCAGTGAGGGGCGGAAACACCTAGGGAAGTAGCCCGACTGGATGCAAATACCAACAGCAACCACCAGCTGTCGATGGCTCCCTTGTCTGAGGGTTGCTTAAAAGCAAGCTGATGGCGGTTTTGACTCTCTGGCACATGCCAGTACCAATTTACCATTGAAATGAATCTTAGAGTGACTGCTTGTCCCACCGGCAGAGTCAAACCTTCCAGCTCCGTACCACAGCAGTGCCCCTTCGTTGCGTGCAGACAAAACAAATTTTAAAAAAATCAAAAATTACATAAAAATTCGAACGAAAAAGCAAACGCGTTTGGCTAAAGATAATGGCGGCCCTCCGGTGAACACGGGTTAGAGGGCTTCAGGAACGCTGCAGCGTATCGCCCAGTCAATTCAAAACCGCCTTCCGTTTTCGCTCTCTACGACAGGCACAACATGCACCATGGAAGTAGTGCGAGAGTAGCTGCTGGCCCTTCCCCATCAGAGGATTGGCTAGGAACAGAGTGACCGCAGCTGGCTCACGCTAGTACCAATTTACCATCGAAACGAGTGGATGACCGAAGAGCGACTGCTTACTGGGCCCTGGACCCTCGGCACCAGAGCACTGCTACGTGCTCAGGCAAGAACTGCGATGGAATCATGCAAGTGCTTTCGTCCTGAAACACCTCCCCCCTCCCACCGCACCACTTCCTCCCCCTCAGTCCCATCCAAAAATTCCTCACTGACAGTCACTAAAATTTGATTGAGCTTTGGCAATTACCAAAACTCGGCAGTTGCGATAAGTCGACTCGGCTGGTGGTCTTTGGTATTTGAAAAGCACTCTAACATCTCTGCCAACACTATTTCATGGCATCGTTCACCAGGATCGCTTTGGCAGTTTGCCAGACGCGCAGGGTAACGTTACTCAGGCCTCAGCAACTATTTTGCCTGGCGGGTGGGAAGGCGGGGTAGGAGAGGGGCCTGGCGTGATTGTGGAGATGCGTGGAGGGGGGACGGCGGTTAGTCGATGTATAAAGTAAGGTCTGAAGGTACAGTTTGGGGCAGGATAGGGAACGGAGGCAAGGGAAGCTGGAGGTAAGTGAACAGAATGGAGGACTGCGTACCAAAGCTAACGATGAATAAAAGCATGTTTAAGCGTAAGGGAATGCAAACTGTTCTGTGAAAATCCATGGCCAATGGGGGCTGTCCCCACTGATGCTTAGGTGAAGTAGCGAACACAAAACTGCAAACAACTCTCGCCACTCTGCGCAGTTCAAGAAGCGGTTCTTGCTAGCCGCCTTTGTTGAGCAGTAAATTTCTTGCGCAGCCCAAGCGAATTTGAATTAACTGATGGGAAACAATGCGGTGTTGTTGACGTCGTAACCGGAAGGATAACTTTCGGAATTGCTTCGAAGTGAAAGAAA